GCGCGATCATATCGCTCTGTTGCTTTTCGAGTAGAGCGTTCTGCAGTTATAACTTATTATATCCTTTATAATCCAGCTAATATCCTTTATTGCCATTGCAATACATTTATTATTATACATCTACACTATCATATCATAAAAATCTCCATAGCCAACTAACTCGAGCTTCAAAATCTGCTAAGCGACCGCGCAGATCACCCATTTGCTTTCTGAGACGGGTCACCTCTTGTTTAGTGTAACCTCTCTCAATGTTTTGACGATTTGACGATGTGTATAGTTCGCGAACTTTTAGTTCGTACCACGAGTCGATGTCACTACGATATCCGACCATCACCTAGCAATTATAATAATAATAATAATAATAATAATCATTATATGTATATATATATATATATATATATGAACCTGATCATATTTAGCGCGGATCTCACGAATGGCCCCGGCAAGCTCGTTTCTGAAGTACTCTCGATTCTCAGGAGTAGTGTCGTGGACGGCAGCCGCTTGTAAGTCCATAACCTCCTGCTCGTGCTCATGTTTTGTGAAATCGATCTCTTCAATTAACATTTGCAGACGATTTTGGTAATCGAGACGGGACAGCGACTCTTGATCGACATCCTTAATTTCTTTATATAGCTCGTGTATTAATGATGTTATTGATGTAATTCAATAAAAAATAAATACAATAATATCTATATTAATAATATTAAAATAAATAATAAGAGAAGACTCTGACCGTACGAATACGAGAGAGCATATTGCTGTCGGAGATATTAATCTTTTTAAGGTTGCCCACTTCCTCTTCCAACTCAGTCACACGACGACGCATCAAGTTGGACTCGTTTTCGATTCCAGTGAATGTGACCAGAAATACGATAATGATGATTAAATTAACGACAGGTAAAATTAACGACAGGTAAAATTAACGATAGGTAAAATTAACGATAGGAATGAACACGGAATCGGATTCCAGATTTAAGAGACGAGATTCGGCGGCATTCACGGCATCCTGTGCAAACCCTAGTGTCCGTTCGACGCGGTCACGAGTTCAATTCCGTGCTGGGTCTATATTTTTGCGAAAATAAAAATTCAATAAGCGACTCACAATTAGATCGTCGATTCTCTTCTTGTCTGAGTTGTGACCTTCGAGTGCGTCCGCATACCTCAAAATAGCATTATTAATAATGAAAATTATAATTATTATATTAATGAAAACAATACATTAAAACGTATTTTACGTTATAATAATTCGTACTATTTACTATTCAAGACGATGGATACGCAAATGAAGTAATGTTTATATAGTAATAATAATAATAATAATAATAATAATAATAATAATAATA